ATATATATATATATATATATATATATATATATATATATATATATATACACCATACATACATACGTTATTTTATTGAATTACTTTTGAGGCCGTGTCTTAACCTAATATTTCTCAATTGCCATTTTTGATAAAGTAAAGCACTTTGTGTTCCGAGTTTTTATTTTGCATAAAAATTTTCTTTAGAAAGAAAGACTGAGATTACAGATTGTGGCTGATGCAGTTACAAAAAAAAGGGGGAAAAAGTCTTCTCACCTTTTGTGCAGCAGAGGAGTCTTGCGCGAGGGTTTCACTATCGTACATGGACTCTAGGGCTTTAAGAGCGCAATCCATCCGCCCGAGTTGCTGTTGGAGAGTTGCGAGGGAGAGTCTGGCCTCGAGGTGCTGCGGCGCCATCTCCACTACTTTTGTGTAGCTCTCCGCTGCTGCCTCCATGTGGCCCAGAGCCTTCAGACACTCTTCGATAGGAGGATAATATAGATGTTTCTATACAGTCTTATTTTGTCCATAATCTAACACTAAAACTGACACTTAAGCTAACACTATTCATCAATAAACAAAGTTTGCAAAGTTATATTTAAGGTTTCCACGTCATTTTTAAGAAGAATTCTGAGGGAAAAGATATATCTGACAGACTTTTAACCCACAAGTCCAAGTGCAGATCACATGATGCTGAGGGATGCAGCAGAAATGCTCCTTCTTTACGGTACCCTTTAATTCAAATCTTCAATTAACTCCATTTTCATTAACGATCATTCTAAGTAGGGTTACAGAGGGGACTGGAAGTAGGGGACAAGCCGCCGGTCCATTTCAGGACACTACAACATACTTTACTGAGCGTGTTTATTGTAAAACAAGGGCCTTTTTTCCTCCACTTCTTTTCAAAGCTGTCAGAAATATGGATTTTTACCGATTTATGTTTCAATTCATATATATATATATATTCCATATTGTGTTGTGTTGTATTCCATATTGTGTTGTGTTGTTTTTAATCCTTGTGTTTTTTCTAATCCTTACTCTTGACTGTTTTTTTTGTGATCCAGTACAAGTGGTTAGCTTCTAGTGTACATGCTTACAAATTCACCACGTTAGTGACGTCACCAAGAAAGGAAGAATATTCTGTCTAATGCTGGTGAAAATGTTTAAATTTTAGCTGAGCCTTTTTTAAGTATATTTTATTTTTCTCCTGAGATCTATTGCATTATATAGAGAACTCTTCATGCTCTTTAAAAATTATCAAAACCAATGTATGGAAAAAAACTAAACAAAACAGGTGAAGTTATTGAAGGAAAAGCAGCAAAAATTCTCAGAATTTCACACAAAATCCTGTACATGAACATTTTGAGGAGGCAGAATCACTTTATCCCACAAATACTTTTCCTGACAAAACTAGCTTGATTTTTTTACCTGACCACAGAGTTAATGTGGCTGTCAAGTCTTTAACAAGTATCCATTTTAACAACTAAATATGTTCAAACTGAATTTGATACGGGTGGATAGGGGTAGTCAGTGAACTTCATAGAACATAGGGATGACTTTGGATATTTTGGGATCAGCTGTAGAGGTTTTGCAGTAAAGGCTGGGAGACCAAACAGGAAAGCATTGCAATGGCCAAGTTGGGAGATAGTCATAGACTGCACTAGGGGTGGGACGGTTCACAAAATCCACGGTTCGGTTCGATTCACGGTTTCGTGGTCATGGTTTTCAGTTCGGTTCGGTATATGTTGATTGTTAGGAAAATCTATTATGTCTTGTATAGTCAGGTTAAAACTGAAAGAAAAAAGCAGTCTGACATTTGATACATTATTGTGACAGTCTTAGGTTAAAAGTAGGTGAGATTCTGGCATTGCAAGCGAGGAGACAGTGCTAGTTCCAACATGTTCTTCACTCTAAATGCAAACTGGTCCCATACAGCAGACCTATAAACTGCTGCTGGCGCGTCGGATTTTTATCGGCTACGCTGCTTCTTCTTCTTCTTGTTTACTACTGGTGGTTGGCTTTGGGAACCGAACGCAACACACGCGAACCGGTTCGGACGGTTTTCACGAACCATCCCATCCCTAGACTGCACCATTTAAGATTTTTCCCATCACCTTTGTTATTCTTTTCGTCATTATTCCTACCTGCATGACGCAGCCAGACAACGGCTAAGTTGTACTTCTCGGATATGACGAGGGCAGACAGCAGAGGCAGACCAGACATGTACTCCCCCTGCTCCAGATAGGCTTCAGCCACGTCTAGGTAGAGGTCACCAATCTCCTCAGGACTCTGCTCCATCAATGATGACACCAAGCCCTATAGAAAATGAATCAACGTGACTTAATATCTGGAACGTTATAGTCGCTAGGTGTGAAAACTGTGTTCACCCCGTCTACCTCCAGAGGTGTGAGGACGTGCAGATGTATGAGGCAGATAATTAGCTTGGCTCTCAGGTCCACTGGGACACTGTCCGGTATTTCTACATCTTTGATGTCACCTAGATACATACAACACAAGTTTAAAAAAAATCGGAATGTTAAAGTGACAGTGAAAAACCCAATAACATTCTTTATACTCATCTAAAGGACATGGCTCCAGACCCTGATGATTAGTTCAATATAAAATTTGAGAACTTGAGCTGCTCAAATCATGTTATTTTAAAGAGGCTTTAACTTTTCCCAAAATCTCTTATTCAAAGTGGGAATTTCAGTGGTATTACACAGCCACATGGCAATCTCTCCTCACAAAACCCTTCTTTTGTCTCTTGGAGGTAATCTAAACTGACAATTACTCCAATCTGCACAGAAGGTTTAGCTTTTTATGAAAAATTTAATATTTTTTAGAAAAACATCTCGGTAATGAGACCACTGACAAAACTGAAGATTTTGAAAGTATCTACTTACGCATGTTTTCTTCCCCGCCCTCTGTGGTGTTTGACTTTGCGCCGTCTTTATTCTCGTCCTCTTTCTCCTCAGTCACCCTCTCGTTTTGGGATTGCTCTGGGATTTCTGATGTAGACTGAGCTCTCACCAAAACTATACCAGAAAACTGAACTAAGATCTAGGAAACCAAACACATTAATTGTATAATATTTAAACACTAAACACCGAGACAAGGCTTTTGGGAGCTAACAGACATGAATACACACCTGCAGCGCCTCTTTATACTGGTGGTTGGAGATATAAAGCTCAGCGGCCATATTGAGGAAGTCATCACTGACCAAGCTGGGATGTCGTTCCAGAGCTTCGTCAATCACACTCTGAGCTGAGGAGAGGTCATTACTTTCATAGTAACTCCTACAAAACATAAAAACAGGCTACAGCTCAGTGTCTCTCTAGAAAAAAAACTTAAATACCAGATATTATTACTATTCAAATTTAATTTGGGCTGGAGACAGTAACAAATTCTATCAAAAAGCAGCAATATATAAACGTCTCAATGAATAAATCAACATGCTAAGAAATGCAATTCAATTATAAAATATAATTATGCATTGTTATTTTAAAAGTGCAATGTATTTACCTTGTCACATGCGTAGTGATTTAAAGACATAATTCCCTACACATCATATTTAATACATATCAGAGACTTATTTCAGCAACATGAAGTCAAAACTCTTTGGAACCTGTTCTATGAATAGTTCCTTTTTTGCATTTCTGTTTATTGTAAAAAATTTGCAGTAATATTGATAATTATATATAATTTGTTATATAAAATGATACAATTATATATTAGAATCGCATTACATTTATATAGTCATCTATATATTTTTCTGTTTTTATTAAAGAGTCAAACAAAAACATAGAAAATAAATTGGTATTTTGGTGTATCAATATATGTGAAAGATAGATTTGAATTTTGTGATTTTATTGGCGAATCTGTCAAACTGATTTATTTACTGAGACATTTATGTATTTCTGCTTTTACGTTCAATTCTGTCCATTTCATCTGCCACACTGGTGTTTTAGGAGTGCATTCTTAAGCACATTTAAACAAAAAAAAAATGCCTATGTATTGCATTTCCCCATATTCTTTTTTTTTCTTTCCAAATTTTAAATCCCTTACTTAGCCATGTCCTTGGAGAGCTGCATGAAGTGTTCTCCATCCTCCATTGGGAGCAGAGACAGGATCCTCCTGTAGCCATCCATACACTGCTTGTGCTCTCCCAAACGCATGTGAAGGCTGGAGCGCTCCCACAGATAGCGCACATTGGTGGGGTCATATTTTATTGCTGTGTAGATTAACAAGAATACATTTCAGAAACCAGGATGTGAAAATATGAACGGCAACATTGAGCTCTTCTAAGAAATTACGCTTGAATTTGGCCCTGATTTCTATTGACAAGCACGGTGGTGGTGAGTTTAAAAATGACTAATTAGGAAACCCAATATCATTAAAATATGGTATATTCATGACGAAGAAATAACTAGAAATTCCTAGATCTAAGATCTAAAAAGATCTAATTCCACATTAGATCTTTTTTTAAAGTTACACCTGTAGTTTTATCCCATTTAGAATATTTAAATGATATTTGAGTACCTTTTACACACCGAAACTGATAGCTAAAGCTTCCAAGTGACACAGCAACAAACTGACCTTTCGAGTAGCAGATGACAGCTTGTCGCATGTTATCCTGTTCCAGAGACATTTCAGCCAGTCGGATCCACTCATCACAGTCAGAAGGGTTCAGGTGGGCAGCGATTAGGCCAAACTGCAACGCTTTGTCCATGTCTTCATTATCCTCGTAGATCATTGCCAATGTGGAAAACGGCTCGTAAGCAAGAGGAGCTGAAGAAGATATTCATCTTTTTTTATTATTTTAAATCTTGCTGTTCTGGGCATCAGTTTTGATTCATATTATTTTATTATACCACGAAAAAAGTCCTAAAAGTTGTTACATGCCTACATAACCTGGAAAAAGTAGGAGTTTATCAATAAAGTACACTGCAATAATTTCATACCCTGTCTTATGATTTCCATACACATTGAGATGGCATCCTCTTTCTCTCCTCGAGCATAACGGATGTTGGCCTCTCCCATCAAGCCCCTGAGAGCCTGAGGCAGTTTGCTACCATGACGTCGGCCCTAGACAGAAACACAGCCATAGATTTGATAATAAGTAGTAAGGAAAAGGCTGGAATAACATTCTCTCACCTTCATCAACTTCTTGTTTTCTCGGTTCAGCTCCATCTCCAGTGCAAACACGTCTCCCACCGTCACATCCCCATCGGCCTCCTCCATCTCCTCCATTTTCTGCTTCGGTTTCTCGCGTTTTCTTCCTTTCCCTCGAGTCTTCTCTTTAGCCTTAACCTTTACCCCCTCGTCCTTCTCGTCAGTGTAATCCTTATCGCGTTCATCATCGACATAGCTCAGGCTATCCTCCTCCTCTTCCTCTTTCTCCTCTTCCTCTGATGATGGGGGTTCGATTTTTTCTCCCAAAATGGAAGCAAAGGCCAGCTGTACTCCAGGGCTGACTCCCTCCTCTGAAAAGACAACATAGCCAAGTCAACAGACGTCACTCTAAAGTGGTAAGTTTACATGTCTTATCAAGAGAATAATTCAAGTGAGGTAACATGAGCAAACTGTATGATTTGCCACTTTTCTTTATAGTGCCTCTAGTTATTACCCTGCAAAAAACTACAAGAAATGAGTTGGAAATGATTTAGTATCAGGATAAAAGGCATAACGTGTCTTAAATCAGAGAAAATCACTAACATTCTGTTTGGTACTGTCAATAAAAGTCATGGCACCAAAGAACCTTGTTTTTTTTAAACCTATTTAGCACAAATATTGTTTCATTTAGTTTTTTTTATTATTATTGCTATTTTACCCACCTCTGACTGTGGGTAGAGTCAATCTTTAACCTCTAAATTTCCCTAATGTTCCACTTTTGTAGTTTCCATGCGTGCATTTGGTGATGTTATCTTCACACCAAGTAATAGAGACAGAGAAATAACTGTTTTCTATGTTTTCACAACCATCTGTATCTCTTGCAACTCTAAATGAAGGTATACATACATTATGTCAAACACTATTCAGATTCATTTAGTTTAAAACTAAATCACAGCTGTCAAACTCCAGTCATCTTAATCCGTCTATCACCTGGACCAGCTATGGGGTGAAAATCGCTCATTATTAAAGTAAATCCCCAGATATCGATGAATAGTGATGTTACCGATTTTCCCATAGGACTGTGTGGAAGTAGACGGCTGGGCATCGTCTTCAAAATCATCGGGTAATGTTTCCGAGTCCTGAGAGAAGGGGGGAAAAGCAAAACACGAGCTCTATGAGATGCTGACTTAACACCAAGTTTTAAAAAAACTGCGGAGAGTCCGCCATTAATACCCAGCCCCTCTCGTCAGCTATCCTCCAACAAAACTGACTTAGAAGAATCATGCAAAGTACCAGTCGCACATTTTTATTTACCTCGGTTTTCCGCTCGTCTCTTCTTCTGTCGAACTCTTCGAAAGTGATTCTACCCTCTAAATAATCGATAAGCTCGGCGCTGAAACCAGACATTGTTGTTCTCTGACTTTGACGCAATCTAACGGTTCTCTAAGGTAATTGCATGACATCACATAATTGAAACGTGTCAATAATTAAACCATCGAACGTGAAGCAAAATCCAGGTTAATTGATGGATCACTTTCATATGTAATTTGTATTCGCTGGTATCTTCCACAATACATCCTCAAACTCTTCTTCTTCCTAGTAAATAGTAGCGGTTGGCATTCAATGAATTTGAGCATTACCGCCACCTGCAGGAGAACCGGAGTATCATCCGAAATAACCAGTTAAGATTTTTATTTCATCATAATGATGACTATTTTTCATGGTTGTCTATGTCTGAGTTTAATATTGAAGTTAAGTTCAAATGATTTATTCATCAGTTGCAAAAATGGGTCTATATGGACTTGTGTTCTAATGATCCTAAAACACATTCGCTTTACCAAAGTATCTTTTGAGCTTTACTTCAATCCCAACCCTTTGGCAGATAAAATTATTTAATGTGAATTTTTCTCTATGCACATTAACATATATATCTTGAATTCTTCAAGTATCAAGTAAATCGATTTTAACTTTGAAGCTATTGTTAGCCTGATTCTTTCATTGGAAGCCTGAGAATAAAGAGGGATTTAGGAGTAAAACTATAGACATAACACGAGTTCAGTGTCTGAGCATAATTCTTAAAATCAACAAAATCGTAAGTACATTACATAAAACACAGTACTAAATCTGGTATTAAAAAAACAAAACAAAGTAACCCTCTGAAGTTAGGAAATATAAGCCATTCATAAAAATCCCCTGTTTGAAATAATTTACAATAAAACTCAACACTCCACAGCTCAACAGCTCACCAAATGACTGATGCAATAAGTTAAAACACACTGCCATTACCACATTTCCTTCATATTCAGTTCAAATATGCTCTTTATTTCAGTGCTGCCTCCTTTGCAGCATAGATGGTAAACAAGAACAAAAGAAAACACACAAATATTACAATAACACAACAATGCTCAAAACTCATCCTCAAAAACAGACAGAAAACCAAAATCCACAATTCATGACAAAAATATATAGTTAAAAGTTTGTTGTAACAACTTCACAATCCATTCAATGGGTTTAAGAGTGGAGAAACCCTGAAAACATTCCAACTTCTTCTACTCCAGCCTTACATTGTTACAACTAATTTGTTGTTTAAATTACAGTACTCTGGAAGAGTCCAATATTTTCAATCTTACTGGTGAAATGGGTAGAAAATTTCACCACATGTGTTCGTTCTCTTCCTCCTCTCTGATAAGCAACTATTTCCCCTATAGACATATATAGATAGAGCAGGTTGGTCCGTTGCAGCGATACGTCAGCGCGTCCGCCATCTTGGATGTGGCAGAACTGCCCGTAAACTAATAAAAGGAAACGGACTGATCTCCATAACGCGCCTTTCTACAACGAGCTTTAAGTTAATGCATTTTATTCACACAGTCACACACACACAAATATGTCTGGGAAACAAATAGGCACAAAAAAACGTACGTGACTTCTAACGTGATGATTATAAATGTGTACTCGCCTTGTTTAGGATATCAATAAGCACCAAACCTAGCGTATGTACTTTTAATGTGTTTTCAGCTACTAATGCATGTAATATTGTTACTGTAGTATAAATGTTGAAATTTAAAATGTAATCTGTGTCCATAATAACCAGATCCTGAAAAGTAGATGGGACCTGAGGGTTTTCTGAATGTGATGCGGGTACAGCATTTGACACCAAACTACCTCGGCATACATCACAGGACAGCCTTTGGAGAAGTTGGCCAACAAACCCTGAGATTTACACCAGGTTCACTGTCTTATCGCTGATTCCTATGCTCCACTTTGCCACATTCAAGATTGCGGCGCCATTGACGTAAGGTTCAGCCCTCAATGCGGCGTCTACGTATATATATCTATGATTTCCCCCACTTTTTTGTCATATCGGAAGTAAGAGTAAACGCAACGCCAGCTACTAATTTCTTGTTCCTACCCGGACATTGAAATGGATGCACACCAAAACATGGCGGCTAACATAGAAGAAATGTTCCAAGATTTTATATTGAACAAAATCAAAGAAATCGAAGGGCAGAATGGAGATGGGCCGTATGTTTCACTGTCTTTTATAGTTATCACTGTTTTACGGAAGCGTTTCAGAAGTATTGAATTGTATTGTGAGAGCTAACGTTTGCCGTAGTGTTAGTTACATTTATCACACATGCTAACTTTAGCGGTGTGCTGTTTTTAGTTATTTAAAACATAAATACAATCTGGCCATTCTCGCACTGAATGTTCAAACGTTGAACGACGTCTATGTGGTATTTGGTGATATGCAGTCAGTTTAAAAAAGTTTCTCTCGTGTCTTTAGATAGTTTGGTTAAAAATAAATAGCTACAATCGAACAATTGTCCTCTGACTTTTATGGGAAGTAATCGCAATATTTCTTTTGTGACAGTGGTGCAGACAAAGTGGACTGTGTCAATAAAACGGACGAACCAGAGCATAACAGTCCCACGAAAGACAAAAGCGACAATCTCATATGCAGTGAATCTGAGAAAAAGCAAAAAGAGAGCAAAAGTAAGGACAAAGAAAAGAACCCAGAAGAGGAGAACAGCTCTGAATCTGGACCAGAAAAGGAGAGCGAGGCTAAACATTTACCAAGGTAAGCGTATGTGGAACACTGTTGAGAAATTGGTCCTGAAAACTAACGTTACCTTTCACAACTTGTGTTTTCAAGCTTGCTTCACAGTGTCTTAAAGATGAAATGATCAAATTCACCAATATTACCAAAGATTCTCTCACATAGCTTCCTGTATGAAAACTACTATCGTCAGAACATGAACCATTTTCCTCAATTAGAAGCAGCTGTGTTTATAACACTAGATAGACTTTACCGTTAGAATATATGATATGCAAAATCTGCAATTTTATCATGAATTCACACTTGAAGTTTGATGTCCTCACCTTTAATTTTTGCCTTGCAGATGTGAATCCCAAACATCAGGAAAAAAGGAGAAAGGTAACTCTCTTCAGCATGATGATTGCACTTAATATTTTGGCGCTTTTAAGGTGACACCTGTTTTGCAACAACATGGTAATACCCAGAATGTTGCCGTTTTAGTGAGACAAATGATCCTCCATAGAGTGAAAGCCTCTACAGGGACACAAACGTGATGTTCATAAATGGCCTTTGTGGTTAAGTGACAATATTTCTGACAATGTTTTAGCTGGCCACATATTAATGCCCCTATCTGTCAGAAGTCAGGTTGAAATAAAAAGTGATATGGTATTTTTAGGTGATTAAACACACTGTATTCTTACTGCTGCTACACTCTTTATTTAGGTGAGTCCAAAGGCCACAAGCACCACTCAAGTGCTAAGAAAAAGAAGAAGAAAAATAAGAAAAGGAAGAAAAGGACAAGCGGAGGAAACACGACAGACTCGGACTCAGAGCTTGTGTCGAAGCAAAGCGACTGTGGTAAAAGCCTCCCACACAGACAAGAGGAGCTACCTGACATAATCCCCAAACAGGTAAAAAGATAGAAAAGTTTCACATATTTGAGAAGGAGTGATTCATCAAGTAATATTCAACGTTGCCAGTAACTGTTAAGACACCAGTTATGTAGAGATGTGAAAATTCCATGTTATTGACAGTTGATATTGTCTTAAGAAAAAGAAGATAAAAGCCACCAAGGGTTCTATCATAGCATTGAAGAGTGACGATCAAGCTTTCTTTCTAGTGCTGCGCGATTAATCGAATCGGAATCACGATGCGATGCTGTGCAATTATGTTATCGCATGAAAGACTGCGATTTGGGGTTTTGACATTCTCTCTTAAGAAGAAAGAAAGAAAGAAACTCTTTATCTAAGATTTAGAAAAATACAGACATCGAACACAGCTGCAGGTAGAGTCACAAGACAACCCGGCTTTGTATGTTTTTTTTGTTGTCATGTTTGTATTTTTTCAGTTGAAAAATATGCAAAATGATTGTGATTGTCTGTGTTGTCCTTGATATTCAAGCACGCAGACTCATGACACAATCGGTTTATAATGTCGTGACAGCAAATCGCAATATTGTCCACAATAATTGCAATCGCACATTTTCATCAAATTGTGCAGCACTATTTCTAGTTCATCACTATTTTCCTTTTTCTTTGGCACGGGCAGTCATGCTAGGCCAACTATCTCAGGGTATGAGCAATGAAAGACCTTTGGTGACATCACAATTGCTACTAAAGGCTGTAGCACCAGGTTTCATAATTTTTCTATACTGGGTAAATACTAATGGAAAAGGCCTTGAAGTGACATGTTGATATATTTATTGTATGAATGGACAAAGGCATTTAAGGATATATAAGCAAACTTTATGACTGACGAAGTATTACTAAATATCTATGAAAACTCAGATTTCTATTTTTATTATTCTGTAGGATCATTTTGATTAAGGCAATCTATTAAAAATGAACTAGCCACAGTTGTGTATTACAGTACTGTATTTTAACACTGTCTCCCTGTATTTTTTTCTATTCACTATTCTGGTTATCATCATAACCACTGACTTAATAATAGGAAAAAATACATTGCCAGAATGAAGTGTCGGTTCTAGTTGTCATTGGGTAGAAAATGGATGGATAAATATCCATATAGAATACCTTTGTTGGTCACTGTAGGGGGCAGCAAATACTCATCACAACAACTATGACATGTTGCCATGCACGATCGAGGGTTTTCCAAATCGATGACATAATGCATTTTCTGTTACAATACCTGAACACGAAACAAACTCAATTTTTAAAACTTTTTTTTTTTTTCCAACAGGAGTGCCCAGATAAAAGAAAAGGATCTGAGGAAAAAGAAGGGCCGAAGACTTCCGATTCACCATCACATTCCTGTTCTCAGTCCCATTCCCACTCAGAGAAAAACTCAGAGAAAAACTCAGAGAAAAACAGCTCCCATTCTGGGTCTAGTCACCAATGTCAAGAATCAAGCACCCCCCCCCAGCCTACTTCACAACCCGACAGGACTAGCTCCAGGTAGACGCATTCACTTTTTGTAAAATTGTATACCTAAATCTGTCTCGATTAACTATTTATTATGTCCCCAGTCATGTCCTTTAAAATGTAATAACATATAATTGAAACTGTTGTACTTATTTAGTTACTAATTACTCTAGTTTTTGTGGGTTTGTGGAGACAGAAACATGCAGCTATTTAAAAAGATTCCTTTTTTTGCAATGGTTTTTTGTGGGGTTTAGATACATTTTTATGGGCCTGACTTACCGTGGCTACAAAAATCATATCCCATATTCCATCACACGACTGGACACCTTGTAAAAGTGACAAAAGCAAAGGTGGAAAAAGTGCAAGTCCTCTTTTAACCCCTTATCTTAATAAAGCAACCATTGCCGTGTCATTGAATTGTCATGGTTCTGTCACGAGCAAATGACGTTATAGGACTCTTGGGCTATTTCAGCCATTACTTTTAATGGAAAAACACCTAAACCAAGCTGAGGCAAGGGTTATGGGTAACCCTAACACGGAAGCATTTGGTGGCCACATGGCCTCTGCAAACAATGCAAACACTCTGACCTCGCTCATTCCAGACTATATTTGTTCAACCCTCCAGTTGATTGTGGAGCAATTTGACCCGTTGCGACAGTTAACATACATTTTTTTTGCTTTTCACCCGGAATTACGTATAATTCCACATAATGAGGCCTTTTCTACAATTCATGACAAAAATGGAAGTTTTTGATAATGTGTTGGAATCAAATTGACCAAATTTTAAATAATTTCCCTCTGAGATTATCAAAGTATTCCTGATTCTGATTCTGAAAAGGTCTTGCTTCCATTGAAGGAATTTACTGAAACTGTTTTGGATCCAGGGGCGGCACGGTGGTGTGGTGGTTAGCACTGTCGCCTCCCAGCAAGAGGGTTCTGGGTTCGAATCCCGGGGAACCAGGACCTTTCTGGGTGGAGTTTGCATGTTCTCCCTGTGTCTGCGTGGGTTCTCTCCGGGTTCTCCGGCTTCCTCCCACAGTCCAAAAACCTGCATGTTAGGCTGATTGGAGATTGGGGAAATTGCCCTTAGGAGTGAATGTGAGTGTGAGTGGTTGTTTGTCCTTGTATGTCCTGTGTGTGGCCCTGCGATGGACTGGCGGACTGTCCAGGGTGTACCCTGCCTCTCGCCCGTTGACCACTGGGATAGGCTCCAGTTCCCCCCGCGACCCCATGAGGGAATAAGCGGTATTGCTAATGGATGGATGGATGGATGTTTTGGATCCGTACTCTGAGTAAACTTTGATCTGTACCAGTCAGTGGTTTTCCATTGACTTATGTGCCTTGGATTCTGAAAATGAAGCTAATTTGTATGAAATTAGGTCTGTTTTACCATGTTTAACAAAAATATTTTTTTATGTGATGGAAAAATTTAACTAAAGTAAACTAAAGTAATTTGGTGATCAATTTGATTTATTTGAGAGGAATACACGTAAACAGGAAGATAACACAAGGCTTAAATGATTTGTGAGTTTGGAAATTATTAGAGCTATTTACACTTGTAGTTAACCATCCTAATTCTGATGCTTTACTTTGCTATAGTGCGGACGCTGGTAGCTCCTCTGACAAAAAAGAAGATGAGGACAAATCTGAGCAGATCGCAAAGTCTCCTTCGAAGCATCTTCAGGAACAAGAGCACAACAACGGAGAGGAGAGGACCCAGTCAAGTAGGACTGCAGAGCCTCAAAACCCGGAACTGAGGGAAAAACCTGAAGAGAAAAAAGAAAAGAAAGAAAAAACAGAAAAAACGGGTAGGTCTTTCTAAAAAAGAAAAAAAGATTAAATTAGGAAATCACACATTCTGATACACATCCCAATTAAACTTTATTGTATTGTATTTATTTATCTTCTATGATGCACTGAAGAAAGATTTCAAACATAGAACCTTGGCTGTAAATTTACCAATGTAACAGTCATTTCATGAGGCATTCTTTAAATTCATAGACGCATATACTGTGCACAAAAATACGGGGTCGTCATTTATTTAACAATTGCCATTACGACTGATGGGGGAAAGGGCAAACATTTTACGTCTACATACACGATACAATCGATCCATCTATTTTCTACTCCCGCATATTCCCAGTAGGGTCGTGGGTCGACTGTGTCTCCAGTTGTCCTTTGGTGAGAGGCGGGGTACACCCTGGATCTATACAAAAACCATAAAAGATAGTCAGAAAGGTAAAAAAAAACTTGTAAAGTTAATCAACAATAAGAAGAAGCATCCATCCATCCATCCATTAATTTTCTCAGGGCAAACTGGAGATGACCCTAGCTGACAGAATAGGTTGTGGTTCTTATGTAAATCTGCCTCAACTTTACCACTAAGCCTAAGGGGAAGCCATTAAGACACCTACAACCACTCTTCAGGAGTTAAAATATTCAGTGGCTCCAATGGGACAGACTGTTCTTAGAACAACTGTTGCTTTCCAGATTGCTTCTCCGGTAAAAGGTATGTGCCAGAGTGGCAAAGAAAAACCCACTGTTGTAAAAAGATCCCATAAAATCTTGCCCAGAATTGGCACAAAAATAAATCCCAAGTGGATTCTTTTGCCCTAAGAAAGAAATGTAAGTTTTTTTTTGTTATCAGCTAACACAGTTTAAAATGTCCCTCAGAAATGTGGGAGTTATGCAGTTTCACTAAAACACGTACAGGTATTTTTCAGTTGTTTGAGTTGTGCTTAAGTGAGGTGGAATATGGCTGATTACTAACACACAAACCCAACCCAAGCATTAGACACTTTGTTATAAAGGGTTTTTTTTAAATTACAAAACCTCAGTCATTTTGATTTTATAACAATCTTTCCGTTCAATCACTAGAGAAGAAAAGAAGGCACCGGTCCAAGTCTCCGCACAAAAACCAAGACGAAAAGGCTTCGAAGAGGAAGAAAAAAAGATCCAAGTCACCTCACAGGAGCTACAGGAGAAGATCCAGATCCAGATCCAGGAGCCCTTCAGTAAGGAGGAGATCACGATCACGGTAGAGTTGCTTCCTTTTTCATAACAGTACATACACATATAGAGATAGAGAGAGATAATATACACACTGCATGTACAAATGAATATTTTTAGACTATTACTTTGGCTAATTAAAAAAAATTTGTACAGGTCGGTGGACCGGAAACGACGAAGGTCCCGTTCACGGTCAGTGTTTCGCAGTCGGAGAAGAAGGTCAAGTTATAGCCAGAGCAACCGTTGGAAACGCAAACCAAGTCGCTAATTTAAAAAAAAATATAAATAATAATAAAATCAAATTTGTACAGGTCGGTGGACCGGAAACGGCGAAGGTCGCGCTCGCGGTCATTGTCGCGCAGTCGGAGGTCCAGAAGGTCCAGCTACAGCCAGAGGGACCGCTGGAAACGCGAGCCGAGCCACTCCCCGGTCCTCATCCTGCGCAAAGATCGATCCCCGCCTCGGAAGAGGAGGAGTCGCAGCACCAGCCCGAAGCGCATCACCGAACACGGTCAGATGCCGTGGAGCGAATCGCTTTTACCGTACAACCACGCGCGTCGGTTATCAAGTGTAAACTTTTAGAAAAACGGCTGGGATCTTTCCGGGTTGCACAAACAGTGGCGGAATCGCCTGTTAAAAGGAAGTTTTTCCTTGCCTGTGTCTGTGCCTCATGGTGGGAATCGTTGGGTTTCTGTAATTAACTTCAGAGTAGGGTCTGACCTGCTCTGTTTGGAAAGCGCTGTGAGACAACTGTTGTTGTGATGTGGCGCTATATAAATAAAATTGAATTGAATCGCATTAATCCTCGTTGTCTCTGTGTCATCTGACACACAGACCAGTGTCAGGGACTCAGGGAAAGGCGCGATAAAACGTGTTATTCTCTTTGCGATTGATTAATCAAAATGAACACTTTAAAGTCCCAGCTTTGATTTATTTTTATGTACGTGTATGTATGTACGCGTCATTTCGGCAGATCATTGTAGTTTTGTCTGTTCTTTGCCCGTGCTCAGATAGAAACCACCTGCTGGAAATCGCCAAGGCGAATGCCGCAGCGATGTGTGTCAAAGCCGGGATGCCCATCCCGGCCAGCCTTCAATCGACAATGAATCCCTACGCTCTCCCAAATATTTCCATGAATGCTGCTGTGGCTGGGATGACTGCTGGTATGACTTCCCTCGCACCCATGTTTTGTTTCTTTGTTACTTCATCATCGTCGGGTCGGGTTAAAGATCGTACAAGTCTCATAACCTAAACAGAAATAGCTTTGATTTTTAATTGAGATAAAAATGCTAATCAGGCTCCTTTACTTGTTTTCTTTTGGTGCTTCTGTCTCCCCTTTTAGCCACTGTGACCGCGGCTTTGTCGAACATGAGTACACTTGCTTCGCTGATGCCAAATTCCTCCTCTGGCAGCAAGTCGTCCGGCACGTCCAACAATGCTGCTCTGGAGGAAGCGAAGAAGAAATTCACTAAACAGGCCAACAGCATCAGCATTAAGGAGTTCACTGATGTAAGAGTAAAGATCACTCACGTCACAAAGTTGAGACGTATTGAGTTTATACTCGGTAAACTATAGTTATGGCTCTCTTTCCAAAACAAGAAGAAAAAGCCATTCGATTGGTTTCTTCAAACGCCCCAAGACATGTTATGACTGAACCTAAATGTGGAGCCAGCAGTTGCAATGGTTCACATTTGTCTGTGCATTCTCTTTGTCTCACACCGACACATTATATTTACCTTTGATTATGTCATCTTTGAAAGTTTATCGGAATGGTTGTGGCATAACAGTCTAAGCTATTTAGGGAAAAAAGATGATATACATATTTTTTTTCATGTATATCGTTTTTCAATAGCCGTTTCTTTATGTTTTAGTAGAATACCAACACGCAGCCAGTATCCCAAACTGCAACATTGTGCAAGTTCTTAATGCCAAACTGCCATACAAACACCTACAACACCATGTAATGCAATACTATTGAAATTACTTTTAAACATTATAGACATACGCATGGGCTGTACATAAATAACTGTATCGCTTGAGTTTGACCAATGTGAGGAAGCCGAATGCTGCAAAAAGAGCGAGAGAGTGAAGCTAAAGGTTGAATCCCTTAACCAGTACCATTTTTTTTATTTTAGGTAGCTTTAAGAAAAAAACAACCCTCAAACCTTTGATTTAAAAGCCTCAAGTTAAACTAGAAAAACCGCATAAACAGACAACTTTTATGAAAGGATCTCAACATGAATGTGAAAAATATATATATTTTTTTATGACACTTTTGTGTCATAAAACAGAGGAACAATGCTCACATTGCATCAAACTTAAAAGGTATAAGAACACTTACTGGGTTTATAAACGAGGCTTGAACACAGCTTTGAAACTCTTAGCCGTACAAGAGAGTTTCTTAGTATCTCAATCGATTTAAACACGGTGTTTTGAATCTTTTATAGAAATGCAAGATGATTGCGGACAGTGCAGGAGAGCTCCCCACTGCGACGCCTCATATTTCGGACGACGAGGAGGATGAAAAGCCTTTAGTAGGAGCGGCCATTCGAGAGCAAAAAGTCATCAACTTCAACATTAACGTAACGTCCTCCTACTGTGGTGTTTTCTAATATCTATGTGTATTGTTTAATTTCTTTTGTTAACTCATTGACTGCCAGAGTTTTTTGAGCATTTTGATTGATTTTTCAAGAGCCACAAAATAGTTTGTGCTATGACTATGTAAACACCAAACACACCAAAAGAAAGAGTAAACTCTCTTCTTTCATCAGGAAAAAAATGTTGTTTCTACCTTATTCTGTTCTTCCTCGACTTGCGTCTCACCGGCGACATGTTCTCTCATAGCGAACCGTTTTTTTTTTATTTGCCTACAGTCTATGCTCATCTCCCATCAAAAGTGCCACTGCCACCTAGAGGGTCAATTTGTTACTACATACTCTGTCTAGAAGCCTGATATTTACGGACAAGCTTTAGCAGATCGTCCCCCAAGCCACTCTCGTTGAAAAACATTAAAGACGTCTACAGACATCTTTGGCAACCAATGAGTTAATCTTCAGTGCTGAATTTCTGTTAAAGCGACACGAACGGCTTCATCACTTAAGTCACTGAACAAATACGCATGCCTGGTCTTTTCAGAGCGCGGCAGTTCGTCCTTCAGTGAGCGTCGACACCGGCAAGGCGAAAGAGTTTCCCGTGTCTTCAGGATCTCAACACCGTAAGAAGGTATGACGAGATCCAGAAGAATGAAAAAATACCGTCGAGACATCCGTGCAGCTAATATCGTGGATTAAAAAGTGTCCAGTGTGGTGACTCTGAATGCGTAATTCCATCAATTTCCAGGAGGGAGAGGTAATGGGCGCGTACGGAGAGTGGGTCCCGGTCGACAAAGCGACCGAAAAAGCTCCGACCACATCCCGAAAGGCCGTTCCAGCAGCCGCCGCGGCCGTCTCCTCCCCGCCGAGTGAAGCCGCAGCGAGCGCTGCCGTACCCGAGGTCAAACAGCCAGAAGTTGTGACCAGCGACAGCGTTTTTCCCGATACTCCACTAGAGGTGCGTTTCACAACTCTGACTTTTTTTCAGCAATTCCGCTGTTTTCCTTTTTGTTACAATACAAGTGACGTCTCATTTTGGAGCTGACTTTAACACCGGTTAAACACACTCAGTGTGTGCTTTGCCTTCTCAAGTTGACAGGTCCATTCACTTAAGATGTGTTAATATAACATGTTCCTAAGGGTTTTTTAAAGTTATATTATTTTGAGCGTAACTCTGATGAAGTAAGAGATTATGTTAATTTGCTCAGATTTGTCTGATTAAATTGAGTCAGAATGCAAGCTTATTCATTACGGTCACCTCAAAATGATCTTTTTTTTGCCTACAGTAACAAAACAAAAAGATTTATCCGCTGTTGTTATTCAAACTTAGACGGAACAGAGTAAATATAATGCCAGAAAAACCTGAGAGCAGTTGCTTGTTTTTTTTTCCAGTGCTCTTTTGAGGTTGACATTTCTCCCCCTTCAGTTCTTTAAGGTCTTTATTTTGCAGGTGAAGTAAAAATTTATTTGGAAGACCACAGAGGGTTTTAATTCACCGAGAAATGTAAAAGACAGCTTGTGCTTTTACTTTAAGACAAGAAACCATGCAGCTGCAAATGTCCATGAAGCGAAACTGCCTTTGCAATACAGTTGAGAAATTCTACAACGATGCTACCTACAACCCAAATTAGCAGTTTTTGATTAGCACAGCTTTGTCAGAAAATATCCAGTTTCAGCCACCAGTCGTCTTGCATGTAGACAAATTAATACCGTCTTTTACTCCAAGCTTTCACAGATTCATAGCAGGACTGAATGCCGATTAAACTGTTTTACAAAGCACCCAATTCTTCCATTTTGTGGAAAGGTTAATGCTAACTCTCTCTCTGTCTATCTCTCCTTCTTCAGCCAGTAGATATAACTCAGGCTGTCACTGAGAGAATCAAAGCTCAGAGGCGCCTGGCTGAAAACCCCAACGACGTCAATGCCATTTGCATGCTCAACCGGGCACAAGAACAGGTATGGTTAACATTTTTCAGCTGGTTGTATACAATGCAAGATACATTGACATCTTAGTCAGATCAGTGTACTCAAATTTTAGGAATACAAAGTGAATAATGGTTTGTACAGTGGGGGAAATAAGTATTTGACCCCTTGCTGATTTTGCAGGTTTGCCCACTTACAAAGAATGCAACGATCCATAACTTTAATCATATGTACTTTCTAACAGTGAAAGACAGAATCCCAAAGAAAATTCCAGAAAATCACATCATATGAATTTGTAAAAATTGATAACCATCTGATGAGGAAAAATAAGCATTTTTTGTAAGTGGGCAAACCTGCAAAATCAGCAAGGGGTCAAATACTTATTTCCCCCACTGTATCTTGAAAACGTAATAACAAAACAGTAATTCATCGTCTTAAAGGACAGATATGCGTTTTTTCAGCCTGAATGGATTCATTTTCATGCATTTGCGTTATATCACATTACTTATTTGATGGAGTTATAGCAAATGTCACCTCTGTTGTGTTATACTATTTGTTATATACATATATTTTTTTATAAAGATGGTGGTAATTTTATGGAGGGTTTTGATACTCGATTGGACTGTCGAAGCTAACGGAAATGTGTTTTGGTAGGTGGATGCGTGGGCCCAATCCAGTTATGTTCCCGGTCTTTTCACGGGGTCCACTGGAGCCCAGGTCCTTAGCTCCGAGGAGCTGTCGACAAGTGGACCACAAGCGTGGCTCAAGAAGGTAAGATGCATGCCCAATCTAATCAGAAATACGCCTGTAAAGTAATTGACAGAAACACTGGTAAATCTAAGGGAACGTGTACAGAGCTTGATTGACAAAACAGACAGAATACTTTAAAAAACACATCCGTGTATACATTTCAACATAAATAGAAACGAATAATATCAATATAAAATATCCAGTTTGATAATTTGTGTGTGTGCCCATCATCAGATATAGATTAACTTTTTATATTAGGATATAAACTGTGTGAAAGTTATTTGTGCCGTTTTCACAAAAATAATTACATTTTTCAATTTTGAAATTAAAATGTGACACGATTTTATAATTCAGCTCTAATCTCCACTTTTAGTTATGCATTGATTTACTTTACTTGCACCACATTTTATAATTTGAGTAGCCTTTTTTTACCATTATTTATTATTATTATTCTATCTTCACACTTTCTATCACAAGAAATTATTTATTTGAAAACTTTTTCTTTGGTGTGATTATTTCTTATAATTAGTATTTTTTTATTGTATTTATGAAAAAAACACAAATATATATAGCCAAAATATTTATACATGAATGAGGATCCAAAAATAATTGTTTTGATTAATCTATTTAAATTAGGTTATCATTGATAGATATTTTAAACAGCCAGCATTTGGAACATTTTAGCCTCCAGAATAAACATTCTTAGCATACAGAACATACAGAATGACATGTGATTAGAACATAAAGTTCAAAATGGTAATTAAAAATAAATACATTGCACACGGCTTCCCAGCTTTACAGAACATGCCTGTTGTGTTCAAATGGACCATTTGCTGTATTCCCTCTTTCCTTATCGTAACTGTGTTAACTTTTGCCTCGATCAGGACCAGTTCCTCAGAGCTGCTCCAGTATCAGGAGGCGTCGGCGAGTTCCTGATGAGAAAGATGGGCTGGAGGACCGGAGAAGGGTTGGGGAGAAACCGCGAGGGCACAGTGGAACCAATCGTCATCGACTTCAAAGTCGACCGAAAAGGTCCGAAACCACAGAAGACTGAACTGACAGCGTAGTGTCCCAAAAGTTAAAAATGTACCATGATAAAATATGCTATTTAGGTACACAAACACACTCTTATATCATGTTAGGTATTAGATATGACAAACATCAGTTTTTGGAATAATGACAAAACATTGTATTACAATATATTCAAATTTAAGCTATGTCACTCAGGACGCAATAAAAACACGAGTTAGGAAGACAATGTGTAGTTAGAAAAAGGGAGAGAGTCAATATTAGGAATCTCTAGCAGGATTTAATTCCAGAGCTGGTTGAAATCTCAACCAATGCTCATAGTGAAAAGGGGTTTTTGTTAAGCTCAAAGTGGAATTCTTTAGGCAGACAGTAATTAATAACAGGAAGAAAGCAAACAAGGGAAAGTTGTTCATTTTTTTTCTAGTGGTGTCAGATTTAGATTTAGGTCAGATCTGGGGTTCTCACAATTAAGGAGCACCTCACCCTCATATTTAGTTTATTTAAAATCTATTCAATGCCTGTTTTCTTCTTTTTTTTCGATTATTGGTTATGAAAAATATCTTCATCATTGTCAGATAGAAAAGAAACCATCCGCTAAATCTGATAAATTCCCCCAACTATCCCAATGTGCAAAAAGGAAATTACCGGTATATTAAAAAGGATGGCATTCAATTCACAATTAAATCTAAGTGGAAACAACTAATGTTACTTTCATAGACTGACAAGTGGCTCTCGGGGAAGACATTAATGCACGGGAAGCTGCACATCATTCATTTATTCTTCATAACACCATGGCGAATTCCATTTCCGTCTTCCATGTATGAAAAATACGATTATTGTTCATCACCATTGACAGATATGACTCATTAAACAGCAGGAACATTACACGTACACTGAATACCACAAGATGCGATACGAAGTATTGTTATACTAAAACGCAGTCTCTTTGTATACCTACCTCTAAGATACTATTTAGGAGGATTTTATCTTTTAATTCTAAGAATAATACCAATGCTTCGCTATGTTTCAGGTTTGGTTGCGGAAGGGGAAAAGCCACAAAAGCAAACGGGAGGACTGGTTATAACCAAGGACCTAATGGGTAACAAAATCTCAGTACACACTTATTTCTATGCATTTATTCATTTTTTTTCTTCTCTGATTCGCTATGTTTGTTCTTGCATAAAGCCCCATGAAACAATAATATAATTCATTTTGTTGTTATAGCTGAAACCCCAATAGATAACAATAATTTGACCCCTTTCAAACAATGTCACAACTTTTTCTTCCATATGAATGCATAAAAATGGTTTTGTGTTTTGCTCTTTTTGCTGCTATTAAAACCACAAAATGGCTTAAAACAGATAACTTGAATGTTTATGCAACACATTATGTGTCAGTCTGATCCAAACTACATTCAAACTGTAGTCTTTCCAAATAATCCTCCATGCACATTAAAAATAACAGCATTTACAGATGGTTCTCTCTCGTACCCCTTTAAAAATCGAGGAGTATTATCACTGGCTAACAGAGGACAGGGTTTGTTTATGCAGGAATCAGCTGATTGGATGAATCCATCTGTTTCGTGGGATCCTCTGTGAGCCACACGAGTTGTGCGATGCGTGCGTGGGATGGTTAGACGATATCTTTTCCTCTCTTGGCAGATCTGCATGTGAGATTCTACCTCTGACCTTCGGCAAACAATCAGCATCTGTCACTAGCTTAAGCCTTTCGAATCGATCATATTTTCAAGACATTTAGATGTTACTTGGATGGAGTGAATCGTTATACCCATATCGGGTTGATCAGTGTTGGGAGTTTCATTAAAAACAGTTTTATTCAATAAAGTTCAAGATTTTGTTTAGAATATACAGGCTCATTCGGTTTGAAAATTGTCACTTTTAAGTTGCTGGTGGTTCTGATTGTACCATTAAGTAAAATTTGATTATTCTTCATTTTGAAAAGCCCTTTTTCCTTTTCTTAGTGTTACTTAGAAGCAGCTGTCCAGCAGCTGGGGTACTGTCAGCAATAGCATATTTAGCATAACTTTATAGAATTTCACTTTGGAATAAATGGTACTTTTTTATTACATTTCATTAGCTTGGTTATGGTAAAATATGCTGTGTTATGCACACATACAAGAACAATCATTGTCTGTTAGTAAATAACTTGACAGGGTTCACTTTGACATCAAATTACATCTGATCTGTTCATATAATTTCACAGTTACACAACTTCACATTAAGTGTATAATGATGTGAACACACATCGATACCAACTTGATAGTGGCCCAGTTGCTTCACAGGGTCCTTGTTTGAATGCCGGCTGTGTAAAGTTTGCTTGTTTTGTATGAGTTCACTCAATCTCTCACCTCTTCCCTGACTTTTCCCCCATAACAGTGATTGTTGGCTTTGGTAGATTAAAAGCCGTTTGTGTCTGTGTTATTCTGTGATGGATTGGCAACCTTAGCTTTGGGTACATAGAACCTCCTGAATCTCTCCATTATATGAAATGTCACACTTCCCTTTGTCCATTCAAATTTTTAACCGTAATTTATATATATATTTTTTTTTAACAGGAAAGCACCCCGTCTCTGCTCTTATCGAATTATGTAACAAAAGACGCTTCGCGCAGCCCGACTTTGTTTTGGTTCACCACAGTGGTCCAGACCACCGCAAGAATTTCCTTTTCAAGGTGAGGCACGTCTCCGGTTAACATTTGTAGCATACGCTAGGCTTCCACAATACAGGTTGTGCAGACACTTTAAACCAACCAAGAGAAAAAAATACTGTTATTGCATCCGTTTGTGCACTTTGTTGTTTTAAGGTAACAGTAAACGGCGTGGACTACCAACCCCAGACCGCTAGTCCCAATAAGAAACATGCCAAGGCCATGGCAGCAACAGTTGCACTGCAGGCGTACGGAGAGGTAGTATAAGCCATTTTTATTTTCAAATCTAAAAAAAAGAACGTTAACCCGTCGCATATGATTATACAGAATAATAATGCACTCGCACCAATATACACGTGATCATGTATATATGCGGGATTGGTATATTTTTCCAACACGGCATTATTACATGCCGGGTTCAGCTCACATTTGTTTTGTTTTGCTTGAAGGTTCGTGCTGATGGTCCAGGACTCTACACCGGGCCCGTCTTTACCGCGGCGTCAACCGGCCCACTTTTCTCTACGTAGAATTTCAAGCGATATTGGATTTTTTTTTCACACCTTTTTTTGATTGCAGAGCTTTTGATTCAAGGAAGCGTATAATGTATTTGACTTAAAGAAGGTTGTTTTTTTTGTTTTTTTTTTAGTCTTTAACTGTAATGATATCTTTGTTTAGGTCGTGGATGGAGCCATAACTAATTATACTTAACTTTTACTTTAGCTTCCTCTACTTTTAATGTGAAAAAAAAGAAAAAAAAAATCCTCAGAATCCAATTTTTTGTCAGTTATTGTTTAAGTCCAAATTCAGACGGTAAGGAATAATTTAATTAGAATTGGATGAAAAAATGCATGTAATGTATGTATATAAATAAATGTATATATGCATGATGTGCTTATAATATTGTAGCAGTTTACTTGTTCAATAATTCTCACGTCTAACCCTATTTACCACAAGTTTCCTGTCAATATGTTTGTCTGTCACAAATAAACAAAGTTATGCTGCTCCGTTGGTAAGGATTTATACATGACAATTTCTTTATTGGGTTTAGTCTTCTTTTTGACTTTATATTGTGACTGGCCTTTTAACAAAATGATTGTCATACAGGCTGTTAAATTCTAAGCTTAGCTTTCTTAAATATGCAAATGGAAAAATAAAGTTTATATTTATGTATGTAGAGGAATCCTTTTGACTGTGTTATTTTGGTTGCCGTTTTAGCTGGTTTTGGATGTTGCTCTGTTAGGTCTCTTCTTTAAAATCGTTACCGTGGAAACTGGAAAGCTGTTTACTGCTGGCTAACTGACCTTTCCGAAGTCATAGAAGTTAATTGAAGAGGTCAAAACTTCGTAGGCAAGAAACGGGAACAATCCTGAAGTGCAAGGTGAAAGAATTTCAAACCATTTCTGCCCCTTGGCCATGGTGAAGGTTCGGGTTTGGTTCAGACGGTATTGCAATCAGATGGGATTTTTTTCAGCCAAGGCTGAGAAATTACGGCGTTATAGCAGCATGTCAAAGTAAGAAGAAAAATACACAAAATGGAGCCAAAATACCATACAATACATCCATAAATACATTACCTATACTGTTTATCCCCCAGTGGGATCAAGGACCCCACTGGGGGATAAATGAAAGTCTGATTCAAGAAAAATAGATTTTTTTATTTAGTCTTCATTTGGACATTGAACAAAATATGAAAAATATATCATTTTTAAAATATTTATAACGTATCCCCTTTCAATAAGTAAATATTGTTGTGTAGTCATCAGCTCACTGTTATCAGGTATATCTGATTGTGTAAAACAGAGTTTTTTTCAAAAGTTTATCATTAAAAGAAGGTCTCAGATGCAAAAGATTTTGGAATTTGATATATATATATATTTGACACATCTAAAATAAATAAATAAATAAAAAAAAAATATATATAGGTATCAAATGTGATACCTATGGTTTTATAGGATTAACAGATATCCAGAACAGAAAAATATCATTTTACACTTTAAAAATCAATCATGATAATGTTTGATTTTAAAAGAGGTGCATTTGTATGCATGTATATGAAAAAAGAAGCTAAACCAGGGCTGACTCCAGACTCTCAGCTAACTTTCCCTGTTGCAGCTTCGATTGGTTGGGTGAGTCCACTGGTAAACAAGCTTCACCCTTTGTCCAGTCTGTGGTGGAGAGGGTGATCAGGGTCACCCAAGATAGACAGCAGTTTGTCTGCTCTCCTCCTCCTCTTCCTCCTCCTCCTCCTCTCCATCACGACCTCAAAAGTCTCCTGCCCAAGTCAGGGAGCCAGTTTTTCTAGATGGAATGGTGTCCTGTTGAGGACACAGCCGGAACGCAAAGCAAATCCTTTGTGTCACATGAGACAACAGGAAGAGTTCTGGCATCTCTCTGCAGATCGACAGGAGAAGGAGGGTGGGGGGGGGTAGATATGGTTTGGGACGTGATGCTGAGGCCCCTTGGTAACATTACATCCAGCAAGATAATATCACTTGCCTGGGTGCATGGTGGTGTGGTGGTTAGCATCCTCACTTCACAGCAAGACACTTCCCGGTTTGAATTTTGACTTTAGGCCTTTCTGTGTGGAGTAAACATGTTCCCCCTGTGTATGTGTGGGCTTTCTCTGGTTAGGAGTCAACGCACGACTCCATGTTACCCTGAGCAAAATTTGATTTCAAGACTCCGTGATGATTGACTTCAAGACTCGGTAATACTGAGTATCGATCATTCATTTGCCCACAATAAACCCATTTAATTTTCTAACCTGTCACTGGAAAGATCTAGTAAATACTTGATCTAAGAACTTGAAAGACGACAAATTTGCTAAATCTAAAGGAATAATAGGCTAAATTTTTGGCCCCATTGGCTTGCATGTCTTTAGCCATATGTGGTTTTTAATTAAAAAAAAAATGGGGGCACGTTTTGTTTCAAGAGCAGCCCCTTTGTCACATTTTAGAAATGACAAAGTACTGAGATGGATGCTAAATATATTCTTAACAGGTTTATAGAAACAAAAATAACCAATAGATAAATTATTTACTTCAAAGGCTGTCATATTTATGACTTCATTACTATCAAAAATTGTAAACTTATAACTATGTTTTTAAATGTGCATATAGAATTACTTGTGGAGGAAGAACAAGAGAGAAGTTGAATCATGAGACTATTTTTCAATTTAAAGTCTATCAAAAATGATTTTGTTTGTGGAATAGCACACTGCATGTTACAACACACTATAAAAAGAATAAAGGAATACAAAACTCTACAATGTATGCATACTTCTGAAACCAAAAAGCTTACATAAGAAATTCTACCTTCGCCATTACAGGTTGAAGTGGAGTCATTTTGTCAAGTGGCTACTTACTGGGCAGAGCCACAGAACCATGAGTGTGTGTTTCTTTGCACTCGTAATATTCATGTGTTTCATATTCTTAAAAGGTCAAACTAAATAAATAAACAAAAAGGTTGGGCATAAAAAGGAAGTCTCTGTGAAGCTTTGACTGGGGCAAAAGACCAGAGGAGTCATCAAAAGAATATTTTGTGTGTGATGCTGTCGGAAAAAGGCCCTGGTTATGTCCCTCAAATAATAAAGATTTTCTTCCTTTTCCCCCCTATACGTATGTGTGATGTATCAGAATCCTGCACCAAGTCATGCATATATGATCATATTCATATATGCATGAATTATATCAAGTGTTTGGAAAATTAATTAAAATCACCAGATGTCGAAAAACCCTTTTGCTCAGCATGTTTGAGGCCTGATAAGAGAAAAAAAAGCTTTGACAATTACAAAATCACGCTGGCTTCCTTTGAACTCCTTTGAATGTTTTTTCCTTTTATTTTGGCCCACTTTGTGCGAACATTTACAGCCACAGACTAAGACATTCTCGGATACATCAAGATCGCATTAAAGTATTTTATGCAGTCTATAAAAAACTGAATCGTGAACGTGTTCCTTTCCCTCATGTTTTATGTGTGTGGCAGCAAGTTTTTCCTTGCCTGTGTCGCCTAGTGCTTGCTCATGGTGGGAATTGTTGGGTTTCTGTAATTAACTTCAGAGTAGGGTCTGACCTGCTCTGTTTGGAAAGCGCTGTGAGACAACTGTTGTTGTGATGTGGCGCTATATAAATAAAATTGAATTATAAAATTGAATTATATCGTTTTGCTCATCAATTATGCATGCGTGTAAGTGAGCTTTTGGCATTCTTGTTTCCTCCCCTTTTTGTCACCCTTACACCCTTCGATGGCTGTTGGACTGCTTTAAAGTCTAAAAGAAGGATGGATTTTGATGGTCAACAGATGCCAAATCCGCCCGTATTACGTTCAAATGAAAATATCTAGTGTTGGGGGGGAAAAAATGGGTTGACAACCTGTGTTATAGCAACATCTTCATCTGCCAGGTTTTGATCCGATAACAAATAAAAATGCCATGCACCGAATGCGTTTTGTAGAGCAGGCCCCGGGATCTTGAGCAGCAGAACAAAGCATAATGATCACAATCCCGCCGGTTCTTGACAGTGTGTATAAAGTATTTGTCCTGATATATTGTGTTCAGTTTCCTCCATAGCTGTTGCTGTGCATTGTGACTAACCATCTTCACGCTGATCTCGTTTGGCACTCCAGGCCACACAAACTAAAAAACTGTCTTCTTTCATGTGCTGATGATAAGTTAATCTTCAATTCAATTCAATTTTATTTATATAGCGCCACATCACAACAACAGTCGTCTCACTGCGCTTTCCAAACAGAGCCGGCCAGACCCTACTCTGAAGATGATTACAGAAACCCAACAATTCCCACCATGACCAAGCACTAGGCGACACAGGCAAGGAAAAACTTCCTTTGAATCTTGAAGATTCTATCACGTCCTGTAGAGCAATTCGAGCACTTTAGCCACTTTTTGATTGCTTTCTATTAAGTAAATGTTGTGCCTCGCATCTCCAGGGTTCCTGGTCTGAATCCTGAGCTTGGGGCTTTTCCTTTTGCAGTTTGCATGTTCTCCTCAGGATTCCTCCATTGGTCTATCCTAGGAGTTGATTCATTCATTTCTATGTGACTCCCTGATAAACTTGGTCACCTTTCCAGGGTGTGTCCCGCCTCTCTAAGCTGAGACCCTGACTTGGAATAAACCGGTTCGGAAAAAATAGGATAGACGGAATCAATGTGGCATATTTATGGAAGTCAACTACAGATGTGGAAGCTGGAATTTAGAAGACTAACCGTGTCAATCATTTGTTGAATATTCAAAAACAGCAGCTCACTGAGGATTGGTTGAAGAAAAAAAATTACATCATAACTCCATCCCCTCTTCCTCCCTCCTTCTCTGTCTGTCATTCTCTTTCTCTCTCCCTCTCTCTTTTCAGTTCAGGGCGAACTAAACCGCCGCTTGGCGCACAGATGTGACAGGAGCCAAGCGGGCGCATGACGCATTCCGGAGAAAAAAAGGATGAGAAAAACCCACAAGTGACTGGTTTGCTGCCGTTTGTCATTCATCTTTAGCTATCGCGGATGCCGAAATGTGGAGAAAATAAATACCACACCGAATATAGAGACACTACACCAAAAGGAAATCTATCAAACAAAAGGAAGAGAAATACGTTCGGTTGTAAACGGGAGCGCTAAAGGAGGGATACAATCCAAGAGCGACTTTCAAGGGGGACCCTGAGTCAGTGGGAAAACTTCGGATTCGATATTGTCGAGCTGTGCCATGAAACATGAGTAATGACAGTCATGGAGTTCGGGGGTTTCAGCCTCTTTGGAACTTCACCGGTGAGTTAAAGGCTCGATTAAGAATTCCCATTCGTTCGTTCGTCCATCAGGAACAAGTGTAAGATTTTTTGCCCATGCGCCTCGTGCTAATTGCATCCCCTCGAAAGAGCCAGTGAAATATGGATTATGATCTAAACCAGCGTGAATAAAGAGTGAGATATCAGATAGGGGTTAGACGTCCGATGTGCTGAAATCACATTGTATTGCCATAAAGGCACGAGATGAAGCACAAATAAGTTATATGAATCAAATTTAAATAATAAAACTCAAAATTAATTTAATAGATCTAAAAAAAAGTTAATAATATAAGCAATCTACACACACAATATCTATATATATATATATATATTTATAATGTGTATAAAGCCTATATATATATATATATATATGTGTATTTATATTGTGTTTATATATATATGTATACATATATGTGTGTGTGTGTGTGTATATGTCATATGCATAGGCTATACACATAAAAATGGTTGTAATAATAATCTCTCCTTTTCCAGGGTCTCATTTGACCACTGCTTAAATTGTGTGGATAAACATCTGATTTGCACTTTGAAGTTTTTGTTATTTTTGCTGTAGTCTCGTCGAAATGCCGTATGAAAAGGGGTGTTTTCCCAACTCTTTAATGCAGACCCCTATTTTTAGAGCAAAAAGCAGACCATATGTTAGATTATATCAAGATAGTTGAACAGTCATCCAACTATGAGATGTTTATATTAGTATTAGTTAGTATTTATATAAATGGATTTGGCAGACAGTTTTATTCAAAGTGACTTCCATGGATTTAGGTGACAGGTATAGCTTGGAATAGCCGAAGAACGCCTCGAGACATAGCCTCAAATCAAACCACTGCCTATCCGTTGCTGGTATCCCCCTGAGCCACAGCTGCCAATGTTGTATATGCATCGCAATAATCATCACATAAATGAAAACATTTATTTTGCGTCCATCCAAAAGTAAGGGCACTACTGATAAAAGCTTATCAGACGGAAGATGAGTTGCGGAACTTTGTAATGGACAGCTTCTAAAATGGCACAGGGATCAATTTTCAGTTAGACGTTTAGTTTCATCTCACATGTCAGAACAATAGACTGGCTATAAAATTATGTTTCTCACACGTTATCATTACTGTAATGGTAACAAATAGAAGTTGTCTACTTTACGCTTTAATTTATTTGAAATACCCAGGAAATTCAGGGCACACTGCGCCCAATATTGGATGACTTTCTAGCAAATTTCACAGAAGATTTATGTAACTACTCTTAAGTAAGAACCATACAGTATTCTCTGCGCTTTGATACATCAAATATCCTATTCAGACCATTCTGATTGCAAGACCTTGCATCATTATCATGCTTACAAAAAGCATTCAGCCAAACAAAAGACCAGGCACGGTTCATTCACTTTAGATTCCGTATGAATGAGGATTAGCAAGTTTAATTAATTTATTTTCTAACTTCATTTGGTAAGATGACATTTTCCCTTGAATGAGTTCAGCATCAAATGTCAAAGCTAAACAGGAAGTTCTTTATGTATGTTCAGAGGACTAATGCTTAGCAACATGTACTTACATCTTGTATATAAAATTTGAAATTAAGTTTATATGAGGTTTTTCCTCAGAGTTTCAAAGTACCATTTTGGATGTACCGTGGCCTGGAGTGCACCTTATTAATATGTTCCCACATAAAACATGGCAGGTTTGAATTAAAATGCATTTGAGGAACACATTTTACAGTTATACACAACGCGAGTAAATCAATCTTTAATTAAAATCATAAAATACTTTTTTTTTCTCTCTACAGAATGGAAAGCAGTTTCTTACCCAAATTTTCATGGGATGCTTAAATCTGCTACGACACAAATGATCATTTTGTGTGCTATCGAGAGTCAAATAAACTCTGCTATCGAGGAGATTAAGAGAGAAAAACAGAAACTCTTAGTCTCATGTTGCAGCAATACTGATATCGCTTCCATTATAATTAACAGAATGGGAATGAATCAGAAAGCTTGCAGTGCAATTTTTCACTTACACTGAAGCATTATTGCTTTTTCCAGCACTCTCAGTCACAGTTTCTCTTTATTACTCAAAATTAACACTGTTCTAAGCCACTGAGACATTGAAAACCATGGGAAAATGTAAATATAATTTAAAAAAAGCAATATCACAAATGAACAATTTGGATTTGAAATCAGTGACACAGCAACTCAAGTCTTAACCAGCAGGAATTAGTTAAAGTTTCCTTATAACTTGAGTTTAGATAAAAGAAAGTGCCTGTAGCAACTACGGAAACGTATTGAATTCACTGGGGGGGTGAGACACCTTATTTCGTAGTTACGACGAAATATCTCATAATTACGACGAAAGATCTCGTAATTACGACGAAATACCTCATAATTACGAGATCGTAATAATGAGATCACATAGTTATTTCATCCTGATCTCGTAATTACGACATGAGGTGTCTACTTTTTTGTTTTTTCCAGTGAATGCAATGCGCTTCCGTACGTAGGCACCTGCACAGCGTGACAGTATAACTGATTAGAGGAAAAAGAAAGGCCAAGGATTTGGATCAACTTTATATAACTTTATTCCGCCTACAATAATGACTTTTGCTAGTTTTAACATGATATTCATTACAGTGTTGATTTGTGTGTAAACAATGAGCTACCAATTCTAGGTTTGTGTTTTACACCAGTACATTCCACTCTAATTGTTTGATCGCAATTTATTCTACATTTCGGTGAAGTTTAAGGGAATAACTATTTCTAATTTTCACAGAAGTAACTACTTGGTCTCTGAATGTCATATGATCCTGTCCAAGAGTACTTCATCTAAAAGCTCATTATTCTCTGATTGCATGATCCCAGATGCCCTCGTGAGAGGAATAATGATTTAAAACTTAAAATTGGAACATGGAGGTGGATAAGTTTGTCAGAGAGGAGAATAGTTAACCTTCCCTAGATGACACATTGCAGCAAGCCTAAACCCAATTGAACATTTTTACATTGCGATGAGAGCTCAACAGTAAGAGTTCGAACAATTCAAGTCTCAGTTTGCCAACATTTTTGGACACAGCACAAAATCAGGTGTGTTCTTGTGCTTCTTGTAAAAAAATTATAATATTTAGAAATCTGTACTCCTACCCCATCGAGTCTATAAGATATCTAATTTATGCTTTCACTGTGACATTACAATCAAAATACTTTGCAGTAATCCAAACTGCAACAATTGTAGATTTTCCCTTGAACTCACACCAGACATTGTCTTCACTTGTACATCTCATACATTCCATCTGAAAACAAATACGACAATTGGTCAGAATTAGCTAAACTGTTCAAATGCTGATGAGAATGTAACTCTTGGTTTTGACTTACATATCATTAGAAATGTAGTTCACATCGTCTGTGCTGCTGTTTGTTCTCCTAGAAACTCCTCGCAGGCAGCGTTTTTGTGACTTGTCAGATTTGCTGCCCCTTAATTCGCAACTCACATGTTCTTGTAATCGCAGATATACAGATTTACCAACAGGCACATTTTAAATGTTGATAAAAACACTGAGTCACCTACAAGACAAGCCTTCTACCTTTGCTCGATCATGTAGTGATTCTTCTCGGCCAGTCTGAGAAGTATATTTAAAAGATAAACGTCTAATTTTGCATGCACAATAATAAAAGCTACATTGCTTAGCAATGACCTACAACTCTAAATGGTGTCATCACAACAGACCAGGCTTGTGTTGAGAAACAGAGGTAGAACATTGGTGGATGGATTGAAATAGAAAATAACATGATTGTAGTTCATGGATATTTTGACCTGGAAGTATCAGAACAACCTACATAAATGGAAGGTCTACCACATAATACATATAGTTCCTAAATATACCAATACATTACCACAGAAAATATCCAGGTGTCATCAAATTTTAGCACAAAAGACATTTTGGGGGTGCATGGAAAAGGACTTTTGATGGCCTCAAGAATGGTCAAGCCGAGCCTGATCCTTGTCAAAGTGGTGAACTGCTAATCCAAACTGGGGTTATCATTGGAATAATCATTGAAAAATGTAATAGTTTGTAAATTCCCTTTATCTGGAGTGCATGGTTGACATCTTTTGGGATGACTCAAGGGGAGTATCTCATGTCTACATTAGGAACTTAAGGGGTTGCATGTCACAGGCATTTCTTTGTGATGGTCTTTTAATCTCCTTGAAGCTGCTGTAGTATCCCAAGAAAAATATTTAAATTATATCGCACTAATTCCCCCAAGATGTCAAACTCTAAAGTTATGAAGGAATGACTATTGATGAGCGCATGAGAAGAGTGTTACCTCTGATTTCATCACTATCATGTCATACTTGGATTCATAAGCATTTTTAGAATAAGTAGAGACTGCAAAAAGTAGCAACATCTCTCCAGTTCTTGTAAACACATCCAAGAGCAACTAGCAGGATTCTATCAATTGAATCAAACAACTGAAACTGCATTTGGGTTTGAGTCATTAAACTGTTCCTCCTTATCCACATGGCACAGATTGGCATATTTCTAAGGGTGGTACCTATCATTTTGGTCTGGACAAGCTTACAGCCATAGCTGTCATTAAAGTGTGGAACCATCTCTTCATACTGATTGGAAGGCCTTTCTCCCCAGTTGAAAGACCTCTTGACATGTCCACAGGTGCACAGTAAGGCAAACAAATGGCAGGATTCTATTCTAGTAACAGGCATCAGGATCCAATCTCCACACTTCATAAAAACTTTTAAAGATAAGATTTTTTAAATCAATATTCCACTTTGTGGTAGTAACAGTATGTAAATATTAATGAAATAATTGCCCGTGAGGCGGCACGGTGGTGTGGTGGTTAGCACTGTCGCCTCCCAGCAAGAGGGTTCTGGGTTCGAATCCCGGGGACCAGGACCTTTCTGGGTGGAGTTTGCATGTTCTCTCTGTGTCTGCGTGGGTTCTCTCCGAGTTCTCCGGCTTCCTCCCACAGTCCAAAAACCTGCATGTTAGGCTGATTGGAGATTGGGGAAATTGCCCTTAGGAGTGAATGTGAATGTGAGTGTGAGTGGTTGTTGGTCCTGTGTGTGGCCCTGCGATGGACTGGCGGACTGTCCAGGGTGTACCCTGCCTCTCGCCCGTTGACCACTGGGATAGGCTCCAGTTCCCCCGCGACCCCATGAGGGAATAAGCGGTATTGATAATGGATGGATGGATGGATGGATAATTGCCCGTATGATCTTCCCCATCATATTTTAACTTTTATCTTTAGTTTTTCTATCATCTAACCACGCTTCAAATATTTAAAACTGTCCTCCAGGATGTCAGTTCCTAACCAGCACGATTGATCACAAATAAACAGCACTGTATAAAAAAAGCAACGTGTTTTTATTCTCTCAAAGTTAAACCCATGCTTATCTTCTCTTTTCTTGTCTCTTTTTATCCCCTCAGGGTCACTGGTCAACCACTCAACTGACCTGTTCTCCAACACCTTATGTAACCAGTCAAGCAACGATTCAACGTCCTGCTCTCTTTTTGAAAATGAGATGCAGGAAGGGAGTCCGTATAAAGCTTTAGAGATGTTTTTTATAGCCTTGGTAACAGGATCTCTGAGCTTTGTGACCGTTACTGGAAATATTTTAGTCATGCTTTCCATCAAAGTGAACCGCCACTTGCAGACTGTCAATAACTATTTCTTATTTTCCTTAGCATGCGCTGACTTAATCATTGGCGTTTTCAGCATGAATTTGTACACAGTTTACATCATCGTTGGCTATTGGCCACTTGGACCGGTTGTCTGTGACTTGTGGCTAGCTTTAGATTATGTTGTTTCAAACGCCTCCGTGATGAATTTATTGATCATCAGTTTTGATCGCTACTTCTGTGTGACCAAACCCCTTACGTATCCAACCAGAAGGACAACTAAGATGGCAGGGTTAATGATCGCAGCAGCGTGGATCCTGTCATTCATCTTGTGGGCTCCTGCTATCTTGTTCTGGCAATTCATCGTTGGTCAGCGAACAGTACCTCCTGGAGAATGTTACATACAGGTACATTACCCTTCATTCGCTCCAACCGTTCAGTATTAAGCTGTGATGTCACTATTGGAGATAACTGTTGAGGTTTCCATTAGTGTTTTAAGGAGCTTCTTTCACGGGTATAGGCTAATTCATTTTAAAAACACTAAAACTTTTGATCAAAGCTCACAGTGCTTATACATTGTCCAACGGGTGGGTTCACTTGCAGCAAGTAGACAAAGCCATCTTCAATCCCATTTCCAGAACAATGAGCAGACAGGTTATTCTATTTCTGCGGCTGATACCAGCTGAACCTGGAGCTTGTGTTCATGCTAACAATGTCTTCATCAAAGATCTATAGTTGAGGTCCAGGTTGACAACATGAAGACAAGAGTGGTCTGACTGCAGGGTTTGTATGAGGTAGAGAAGAATGTTTAAAATGATTTGAACCTTTAAAAATAAATTCAGCAAGCAATCTCCATCCAGACATCTACCAAACCTGCGCTCCCTCTCAGTTTTTCATAAAAAATAAGCCCCAATTTTGCCCAAAGGAGGCTCTGCTCTTACCTGGCCTTCACTTTTTTTTATGAACACCCAACTTTCTTGGTGGTGATATCTCCCACACAGTATCTATCAATTGTGGCACTGGTGTAATTTATGTTTGGGTCAAGAAGTCTATTCCAGTCTGTGAGCAGATCAGAGGCTTCTTCAAGGACTTCTTTCAAACAGGGAGACTCGGAACCTACATTTGCTTGATCCTAACACTTTGCACTCTGCACCTCGAGAAAAATGTCTGTTGAGTCCCCTCCATTATTCCCCAGACAACAGATTCCAAAAACTGGTCCTTGAGGTCCTTGAGAGGTGCTATCCTGCAAATGTCATACATTTACCTGCTTCTACTCATCTTATTCAGATCTAAAAGATCTTTTGATGATAACTTTAAGTTTTCCACAAGTCTGCCAACCGTCTATAGCTTTGAATCGGGTGTTGAAACAGGGAAACATCTAAAAACTGTCAGATAGCTTGCTTTTAAGGATCAGATACCACGATCCTTGTCCTAAAAAGGAAGTAAAAAGGAATCAGTAATGGCTACTTTTCCTTTTTACACCCTGGGAAGTGGTGCTATACAAACCATACAGACTGTTTAAAAAGGACTTATATCCATAAGCTGTCATACTACTAAATACATACTGCTAAATACCACTAACTCTACTATGGGAACTTTTTTAGTGCACTGTTAGCTCTCTTTATCCATCTTCTTCTGTTATTTTGCGTGTTTTATCCTTGTATGAGTGTATGCTGCTTTACTATATAATTTCTGTAATATGACTATAATATTTCACCGTAGTGTTTTATCAACTATTCAACTCATCAGTTACCCCAGAATCATGATCAAATTCACAGATAGCACTATTGTACTACAGTGGGGCTTATTTTTCATTTCATTCAGGCTAAATTTAGAAACTAGAGGTGAAGATGACAAGGAGTAAGCACATAGACAGCATAAGGAAAAAGATCAAAGAAGCGGGGGTCAAAGAAAGATCCACTTAGTATACTAGATTCACAGGGATAAAAAAAGAACATTCAATCAACCACACCAAAAGAAAAAGTTAGTCAACAAAATCAAAAATCCAAACTCATGACAGGTAAGGTTGGAGGCATCTCACATGCAGATCATGGTGTGTCTCCAAATTTTTTCAGTTGACAGACAACTACCAACCTGGGAACCATAACCATATTTTCACAGACTTCTAACATGAACTTCAATATTCCCGAAAATATGCTCATTGTGAGTTCAGAATTTAAATTAAGCCTTCAAATATGCTGCCTATTGTAAAAGTATGCATCACTGCTGTGATCACGACAGAACAGTCAACTGTCTTCCTTTCTCTCCCTTTCTTTTTTCTCTTTTTTAGTTCCTGTCTAACCCTGCGGTGACATTCGGAACAGCCATAGCTGCGTTTTATCTTCCAGTCATTATTATGACAGTCTTATACATCCACATCTCCTTAGCATCCAGGAGCAGGGTCTCCAAACCCAAACCTGAGAAGAAAGAGAAGAAGGGTATAAAGTAAGAGCTCTAAAGTGTCACATCTCTTAGATAACATTTCAATAGAAACGATCAACGATCTAAAAAAATTTTTCAATACAGTGACAGTGTCACTTGGAAATATTTTTTTTCTTGTTTCATCTCTCCATAATTAGGTGACAGCACGTAGTCTCAATTTGTTTGTTAACTTAACTCTCTTTTCAGTCGTATCTTACCAAATGTTGAATAAAAGATAGCAGAATGGACAATATCAAATTCACACAATAAGGCTCCACCTAAACCCGGCAACTGTGTAGGCAACTGGATTTTATACATAACATTACCTGATCGTTCTACTTTTTTATTTAAATTTTGTATATGTTCCAGACTATCATTCAAACAAAAAATGTCACAGCTAAGTACAGTGTCTTGCAACCCCATAAGTCTGAAGTTAATGTTGGTTTATATCAATAGAAATGACCCTGAGGGAGGACAGGTAACAGAAAATGGAATTAAAAAAAAGAAAGAGTAAAAACAAACACTGTTTACAGATGGGTTATAGACATGAATGATGAACCATTAGACAGAAGAGGGAGTAAGTTATATGAATACAGACACTTGGGTTGTGTTAAAATAAGAATTGTAAACTCATGATTGTAAAATTGTAAAAGAAATGTAAACTATACTCCAGTAATGTATGAAGAGTTTATGCTTTGTGTGCAAAAATTAAAAATACATCTCTAGCTCATAATAGTGTTCTAAATAAATATTTACAGCCTTTTCTTAATCACAGTTTCTACACTTTCTTTTTTGTGCATTCCAGAGCTCCAAACATCTTCAAGAGTCACCTGATAAAGCAGAACAATAACAACGAGACCAGTCCTCAGGCTAGTCCTCATTCAACTGCCAAACTCAGTCTGGACTCAACCACAACTGCATTAGAGGCTGTGAAGAATGGTAAAGTGGAGGAACCTAAACCAGAACAAAAGGAAGAGGCTCCGGGACGTTCTAGTCCGAGGCTTGCACAGGTAGATGGTGTCTGTCTGTCTATCTATCCATCCATGGGTTTTTTTGGAGTCATGCCTCTTTCACACGAGGATTTTTTTTTTCATTAGTCAAAAAGTAATTAACTCATCTTCCATGCCTGTTTTCAGGTCCCAATGGGTGAAAGGCTAGAAAGCTTGTGTGGGTTTTCTCCGGTTTCCTCCAATCGCCAAAAAATGAGCATGTTCGTTTTCTCGGAATTTGTAAATTGCCACTTTGAGAGCGCGCATTTGTGGTGTTGTCGTTTCTTAACCCTCCAATGTCCCATCGACCCTTGACAAATCTTTGGTTTTCATCAGCTCCGCCCCTTCATTCTACCTATATACGTCGTAGCTGCGCGTTATTGGAAAGCTAAAGTTCTTTAGATTTCTACAATCCAGGATACAATCATGAGTCTTAAAGCTAATTTTAGTCTATGGCAAGTTATGTATTCATAAAGACACAAATTACACACTGAAAACTATATAAATGTCCATTAGATATGCATAATTTCATGTGCATTTCTGTTCTTGAAATGAATAAGTGGTTAAACCATGTGATAAACCACAATAGTCCCTGTCAAATGGCTATCAAACCTGTCAACTTGAATATGCTTTT